AGAAGAGGAACGACAGTAAACATGAAGAAATCTTCATTCGCGAGAGAATGTAAAACAAAGATCGAGTGTCTCGGAATGTTTGCAACATCATCTATTCCCCACATATCTCCACAAACGTAAATGATAAAATCTAAATTCTTTTTAAAACATGCGTCCTGATATTCTGTACAATAGTCAAAAAAAAGATTCTCTTGGCTTGTGTTAACAGATTTGGAGAGAGCTAAAAGAAAAGATGTATCAGATGTTGTAGTTTCCCACTTTGATATCGATGTAAACGCTTTAAAAATACACATTTACTATATAAATCAAATCAAATGTAAAAGAACTCATTTTTGAATACCATCATCTCGATAAAGTGAGCATCTTGATGTTCAAAAATAGTCGGAAAGAATGAAACTTCTGAGAAATGTGATTGTTGTTTAGCTGAAGAAAAAAACAAATTCTGGATAATGAGACACTATAGACTCTCATACACCTTTCCTTTTAGCTCTCTCCAAATCTATTAGCACACATCACAAAAATTTCTGTGTTCACCTATTGTAGAGAATGCCATGGAGTATCGTTTCAAAAATAAGTTGATGTGTTTCTGAATCATCTATTTGAACACATAAACAAAGTAAAATATCTTGGAAGCAGTCTCAAAAAAACGGTAAATATTTATTTCTTCACACTGCAGGATATAGTTTCCCCGACTGATCCGCTAAAAGGTCCGCAAAAAACGAGAACACGAAAACTACACTTCAACGATAACGAAACTACAGATCCCAAGACTCCAAACGACATCAACATTCTGCTTTCGATAGCAATACGGACACCAGACATCAGACTGCCTTAAAAACTTTGACTTCACTAGACAAAAAGCTTTCATGACTATCGGACTCCACTTTACTTCATGACTCTGAGTTCGACAGGATTTAAGACCTAATGACATTCACTAACTTCACGGCAATGGCTTCAAGACACACGAAGACATAAAAACTTAAACTGACTTCATGACGGCAGCTTTAAGAGATTTTAAGACTCCAAGAGACAAGACTGACTTTACGACTCTTGCTCAAAACAAAGATAAAGACTCCATGATTAAGGCTGACTTTGTGATTATGATTTTCAAATACAGGAAGACAACAGGATTAAGACTCACTTTTTCAATCAGCCTTTCGGAGGAATACATGAAGACTATAGCGATAAGACTGATAGTACGACGCCGATCGTAGGAGACAAATACTCCAGAATTCAGACTAAATTAATTACATTCTATTTAGGAGACTTCCAACTTCTACCAATTCCACTAACTTCATGACCGCGAATTTGGAAAACGGAACACTTGAGTGATTCCATTAAGTTCATGTCTCTATCTTTCATAAGATTCAGCACTTTGACTGATAGCATGTCTAAGTCCTTGGCAGATTTAAAGACTTTAGGATTTCAGCTGACAATATGACTCTGGATCTAACAGTCATATACACTTGGGGACTTTCACTAGTTTCATAGTATTCGCTTTAACAGACATAACACTGAAGGACTTTGACGAAATTCATGAGCTTATATTGAGGAGCTTTTCTTGTCTCTTTATACTATGAATACATGTTCACCAATAGTGAAATTGAAATCAAAATATGAGAGTTAGATTAAGCGGTTAGAATAAGACGATCAGATAAGGGGTTAGAATAAGGGGATAGAATGAGAGGTTAGATATAGATTCAGAACTTCGATTAGAGGTTAGAATAAGGGGTTACATTGTGGGGTTAAAATAAGGGAATAGATATAGATTAAGGAGTTAGATTAGGGGTTAGAATAAGGCGATAGAATAAGGGATTAGAGCAAGAGAGTAGAGTAAGGTGTTATGATAAGGGATTAGAATAACGGGATCGAATAAATGATAGAATAAGGGATTAGAATAAGGCATTAGAATAAGGGATAGAATAAGGGATAGATTAAGGGATTATATTAAGGGATTATATTAAGGGATTATATTAAGGGATTCGATTAAGGGATTAGAATAAATTATAGAATAAGGGATTAGAATAACGGATAGAATAAGAGATTAGATTAAGGGAATCGAATAAATGATAGAATAAGGGATAGAATAAGGGATTACAATAAGGGATAGAATAAGAGATTAGATTAAGGGATTAGATTAAGGGATTAGAATAAGCGAATCGAATAAATGATAGAATAAGGGATTAGAATAACAGGATCGAATAAATGATAGAATAATGGATTAGAATAAGACATTAGAATAAGGGATAGAATAAGGGATTAGATTAAGAGATTAGATGAAGGGATTAGAATAAGGGAATCGAATAAATGATAGAATAAGGGATTAAAATAAGACATTAGAATAAGGGATAGAATAAGAGATTAGAATAAGGGAATCGAATAAATGATAGAATAAGGGATAGAATAAGGGATTAGATTAAGGAGTTAGATTCAGAGGATACATTTAGGGGACAGAGTAAGGAGATAGATATAGATTAAAGACTTAGATTAGGGGGTAGAATAAGGCGACAGATATAGATCAGTGAGTCGTATTGTGAGCAGCTGCCGGAAAGCTATATAAGGTTTTCGAAGCCTCGGAAATCTCTAATGCGTTTCCGGGATCTTGAGGTTTTTTAATTGATTTTAAGGGTTTGCGAGAACTCGAAAACCCTTTCTCGGAAACCTATAAAGGGTTTCATATAGTGACAAACTCGGAAACCTTGTATAGGTTTCCGAGAAAACGGATTTTTTTTAGAGTGTACCCCTATAGGGTAGCCCTTGGATAACTATGGGTACCCCTATAGGGTAGAACTTGAGGACCTATGAGTACCCCTATAGAGTAGCCGTTGAGCACCTATGGGTACCTCTATAGTGTAGTCCTTGATGACCTCTGGTACCCCTATAGGGTAGCCCTTGAGGACCGATGGGTACCCCTAAAGGGTAGCCCTTGGGGACCTATGGGTACCCCGATAAGGTAGCCCTTGAGGACCTTTGGGTGTCCTACAAATATTTGGGTTCGTTCCAATGAACTTGACCTGAGTTTGTCGCTTTGTAGTCGTATTTCATTGCAATATTTTGTCTATGTGAAGTGAACCACATTCTTCTGGCTAGCGTGTTTGGATCACTTCGAATGACCGAAGACGCTTGTGAAAGATAGATAAAAGGAAATAAACCGCTCTTAGCAACAAACAAGTTATTGTGTGGCCAATTTTATACATGTTCGTGGCCAACAAGTGAAATGGGAATAAGGCTCATTCCACGAAGTAAGAGATGAAGAAATACGTGCACCACTCGAATATTAGAGATGAGAACTCAAGGGTACTTCCCTCATAAAGGATTTGAAGACTTAAGAGTACCTCTAGAATATAGGAGATGAGGACCCAAGGGTACCTCTGGAATATAGGACTTGACGACCTATGGACACCTCTGCAATATAGAACTTGAGGACCTAAAGGTACCTCTAGAGTATAGGACTTGAGGACCTAAAGGTACCTCTAGAATGTAGGACTTGAGGACCTAAAGGTACCTCTAGAATACAGGACTTGAGGACCTAAAGGTACCTCTACACTCTAAAGAAAAAAGGTATTCCCGGAAACCGGCCAAAAAAGGTTTCCGAAGGCTGGGAAACCCATTTTTTACCGTCGGAAAGTTTTTAAAGGGTTTCCGAACCTCGGAAACCCATTTTTTAGCTCTCGGAAACCCTTAAAAGGTTTCGTATAGGAACAAACCCGGAAACCTAAAAGGGTTTTCGAAGTTCCGAAACGCTCGAAAGGGTTTCCGAGGACTCGGAAACCGATAACGGTTTCCGAGTTTGTTCCTATACGAAACCTTTTAAGGGTTTCCGAGAGCTAAAAAATGGGTTTCCGAGGGTAAAAAATCGGTTTCCGAGCCTTCGGAAACCTTTTTTGGCCGGTTTCCGGGAATACCTTTTTTTTTAGAGCGTAGAATATAGGAGTTGAGGACCTAAAGGTACCTCTAGAATATAGGACTTGGGGACCTAAAGGTAACTCTCGAATATAGGACTTGAGGACCTAAAGGTACCTCTAGAATATAGGACTTGAGGACCTAAAGGTACCTCTGGAGTATAGGACTTAAGGACCTAAAGGTACCTCTAGAATGTAGGACTTGAGGACCTAAAGGTACCTCTAGAATGTAGGACTTGAGGACCTAAAGGTACCTCTGGAGTATAGGACTTAAGGACCTAAAGGTACCTCTAGAATGTAGGACTTGAGGACCTAAAGGTACCTCTAGAATATAGGACTTAAGGACCTAAAGGTACCTCTAGAATGTAGGACTTGAGGACCTAAAGGTACCTCTAGAATATAGGACTTGAGG